AAGATATTTACAAATGAAATAGATAACACACATCAATTAAATTAAAATGTATTAGGTTCTGTTATATATTACATCTGAATAAAACTATATGAAGACTTAAATTCATAGAAACATCATAAGATAGTTTGCTTCCTTGTTTGTTTGTTTGTTTCTTCATCCCATTTTTCCTTTCTTATTGACCAATATTCTTTGGAATGTAGTTGGAATATGAATAATTCAAATGTCATTTTAAAGATGTACAACTATGTGGATACAATATCCACAAAACCCCTTCTGACATGAATCAACATATGCTCAGTAGTGACTGTCTCCAAGAGCTATTTCATGGAGTTCTAACGAGAATCAATTACCAGTGGAGTTCAACCGGGTCAGTTTTGAGATAACAACCCAATGTTCAGAAGAACAATGAAAACTCTACGATCGAACCATTCAGCTCAAAGAGCAAAAGTCCATCGAAATCATCCACTTGAGATACAAATCTTCTCCATCATAAAAAATGATTAAAAATGTGTGTAGTAAATGTAATTGTTAAAAGGTGAAACCTAAAGAGTTGTTACAATCGTCATCAAAATAGTATATACGATGTTGCTTAATGTCAGTTGACCGGATATTATCTGTAATAATCTATTATGGTAGAGAATATCCTGGTTTCTAACTGAAGAGAAAACTATATAAAAATGCTTGAGGTGGTTAGGACATACATGATGGAAATGATCAAACTGCATTCATTATAAGGTGATTCTCAACTTGGAATCCCAAAAGGAAAAGAGAACGGAGGGAGATCAAGGAACACATTGTCGAATATACAATCTCATCAATAATGGGAAAAAACAATCAGATTGGTTATTATATAATGCAATTTCATGCCAAAAACAAAATGATACTGTTTTTTTGTATTACAAACCTGTCATTAGATTAACACCATATACGACCTCTAAACGTTTAATTATACATTGTATATCTATAATAAGCAATATTATTTGGAGAAAAACCCATCAATATTAGTGTTTAATTAGACGTACAATGATGCATTGGCTGTGAGACAACACGACCTGATTGGATTTCTCCATCTAAACAAATATACAAATCATTCGAAATTTAATATGCAATAGAAATGAATCTCAGAAGGGGTTAATTTATGGATATTATATTTGTGCTCATGGGTCAATTGAAGCTAGACCAGCATGGAGAAACTGAAAGTACGGGACAGCGGCTTCATCTTAGTGAGGGACTCTTCAGCAATGCTCATCCATGAACTTTTATATGATCATATTTACTGATTTCAGTTTATCAAATATTCATTCAAGAAAAGTTTTTTATATTTTGATCTATTTGATAAATTAAGTGATCTGATCTAGTCTGATATGATCTGAAATATTCTCTTGTAAAATTGAGAGACTAATAAAATAAACTTAGAAAATTGTGAATTATTTTACAATTGATCAACCAGTTTTCATTATCAGAATGAGGGTAGTGTATGCTACTTATATTGACATAAGCAGTATATGACGCTAGTCAGGAATAGAATGTCTGGCACCAGATAGTTGAGAAGATCGAGAGGGGAAGAACGGGAACGGAAAGTAATTGTTATGGAAATGCAAGAACAATGAAATCATAGACAATTAATGAACACTTTACAAAATGAAGTAGAGGAGTATGGTTTTTATACTTTATCAAGTAGCTCTGTCATTTTGTATGAAATGTAATTAGTTATTCTTACTTGTGTTCTCTTGCACTTTAATTGTAGTAATGTTAGTAGTTGAATTGATGAATTGATTTAAGCTAGACCATCGTTGAAAACATGTGAGCACTAGAAGACCGTTTCATCCTAATTGTGAAATAGTTACTCAATCGTGAAATACTGAGGATTGAATAAAGTTACACATAAATACCGTTGGATGCCAACTGGCTCAATGGTCTAGAAGATAAGTGTTTGCGCGTAAGACCAATAGGTATTGGGTTCCAATCTTATGTGCCGGATCATAGATACGTCGTGCTGAGGAGTCCCACACTAGGACAAAACGATAGTAAATGTTAAGTTTGAAGGTAACACAATTTCACTTGATCTGCGAACGAAAACAAAGACTCAGTGACCAAGACCAGTAAACCAGCTATTTGACGCGTCCCAGCCCCGCTAACTAGAGTGAGAAGTCCAAGCTTGAAATGGGAAGTATATTCTGCAAAACAGCCAGAAACGAGCGATAACAACAAACACAATTCAAAAGCGTATATATACAGTACAGGCCCGTCCTTAGGGAGAGTTACCAAAAAGCATACTAAAACACGCAACGCACTAATAACATTTATGATAATTCCCAGTGGGAAATACGACATGAAGATGACAACAGCGCTTTCGGCGCGAGAACAAAGAAATTCAATTTCTCTAAATAAAATGACAAAATTAGGTCCTTTTGCAAGTGAGTTCTGGGGATCTAACCTCCCCAACAGTAAAGTGACTTTGAAAGTGTCCCCTTAATACCCAGAACTTAATGAGGGTTATAAACATGTGTGAAGAATTAAAATTATAATTTGTACTTGATGATTAAGATTAAGAATTAGATTTAGAGTTTTCATCACGAACTGACATCAATTATAATAACAAAACTCTATTTAACCAAATAAATGAATGAATTTCATATCAAAATCTATGACTTATCATTGTAAATCTGATTGGTTCGTTCATAAATTAATAGTCTTGCCATGTTACATAATCCATAAAGATTAATTTGACCAAATATTGATTTCACTGGTTGCAATCATGAGTCAATTGAAGCTAGACTACCATGGAAAACCTGGAAGCACAGGATGGCTAGGTTCAATTGACTCATGATTTCAACCAGTGAAATTTCTAAAATCTTCACAAAACCACTTCTGATTTACTTTTATGTATGATAAAATGAAAAAAAGAACATTTCATGAAATTTACATTAACTTACTGTATATTGATTGAATACGATCTTCATAAGATTTTATTGATTTTATACGCTGACGAATAGATTCTGTTAATTAGTCATTAAGAATATGAAAGAGAGGGTTTCGTAGTTATTATAGGAATTTTCAATAACTGAGATCATGAGTCAATTGAGTTTGGATCAATATGAAAGACCTAGAAGTACTGGATGGTTGTTTCGTTCTACATAAAGGACTCTTCAATAGTGAGTAAAATGCAATGTATTCAGGTTTTTCATAAAGATCTAGCTTCAAATATGTGATGATCTGAACTATTATTAGTCGAATAGTTATCAATGTGTTGATATTCGATTATTTGTCATTCATATCGATGTTGATGAATGTTTAAATTATTTTCATATAAGGATAATTTCTGAATAGAATCATCTATACGAACTTCATTTCTATCTGTAAGTAGTACTGATGAAATCTTTGAGAATAACAAAGAAAGCAACAGTTCTCACAACTGATCAAGATATTTTGAAGTACCGTAATGCAGAATATTTGATTGTCTCCATCTGTGCTATCGTTCACTACAACATTACTCTTACTAATGTCAGTATAACTAATATAAATACTATAACAACTACTACAACCAATACTATCACTGACACTACTACTACTACTACTACAACGACTACTGCTACTACACCTACGACTACTACCATTGTTTGCACGATTTCAGTGCAGAATATTTCAAAAAAAAATATGAAATTTACTTCATAATCCTATTTGATTTTAAAGTCTAATGTTGAAATAGATAACATCCAGTGGATGTTTCTAAGATCAGTTCACAAATGCATGTTACTATTTCATATCGTTCTATCATATGTGTAAATCTGTTTAAAAGTTTAATCATTAAACAACGTCATCAACGAATACTTACTTCGTTTACGTGCTAGTTCATAAAATATCCATCTTCGCTCCATATATAAGTCTATGAAAAAAGCAAATGACATTGACATAATTCAAGCTCTTCATGGTAATAAAAATATATATTTATCTGGATACATTAAATCTTGTGTAATTGAACTTAGTCAATATACAAACTACAAAAGACAATTATCAGTTGAGGGGTTGTGAAGATGGTTAATATTTTATTAACACTATTGAGAGCAGGCTCACTGGTCTAGTTGGTTAAGCGCCTGACGAGAAACTGTTAGGTCCTGGGTTCGAATCTCACCCGGTGAGAAATCATGGATGCGCAATGCCTCGCAGGAGTCCAACACTAGGACAAAACGCGTGTCTACTGCTTCCAGGTTTTCCATGGTGATCTAGCTTCAATTGACTAATGAGTTCAATCAAAAACAAAGGATAGTGTCTTACAGATATTTGTTTTTATATACAATTGACATTAGTAATCAATCAAAACATAAATAGATAACAGATATAAAGATGACTGATAGCTAACAATGGAATTGAGAATGAGAATTTCGTTCTATTTTGAACTTATCAGCTAGATATACCTATATCCAAATGTAAATGTTCATTTCAGGGCTTGATACTAAGTGAATCACATGATAGCATGTAAAGCAAATGGTACTAGGATGAAGTGTCAGAATGAATATCAACTCTGAGATGTATATATAGATCTACTTGACAAGTCTCAAATACAACGAAACACTCACTCCATATTTCACTACTAGCTGTCATCAGTCTCTACTTATAATACTTGTGACTGTATACAATATCAAGATAATTCGCATAGGATATACATATATAACAACAAGAGATTGATCAATTGCACTCGTTATAATCAATGAAAAGATTCAATTAAACAGTACTTACCATTTCCTGTAGACCCATATAGAAATAATAGAAGTACATTAAGAAGTAGTACAAATGAATGGATCATATTCAATATTGTAGTTTCATTTATTCTTCTTCTTCTTCTCCTTTTATACCATTTCAAAATGATGGTTAATAGACATAAATACTCACTATAAATATCTTCTATTTCTGATTAAAATAAGCCTCATTATACATAAATAATTAAACAAACTAATTATTCCGAATTACGAAGAAGTTGGTAAGTTTCAAAAGTGACCTCATTAATACACCATTGTATATATGGTGTGATTATATGAATCTAGACAATATAGTTTCGGATTATTTGGAATTTGTTGTAAATCATTGACAAATTCATAAACCACACAGAAACTAAATTCATATGAATCTATTCTAGTTGTTGTAGTTGTTGTGGTAGTAGTAGTAGTAGTTGTAGTAGTAGTAGTACCAGTAGTAGTAGTAGTAGTAATAGTAGTAGTAGTAGTAGTAGTAATAGTAGTAGTAGTAGTAGTAGTAGTAGTAGTAGTAGTAGTAGTAGTAGTAGTAGTAGTAGTAGTAGTAGTAGTAGTAGTAGTAGTAATAGTAGTAGTAGTAGTAGTAGTAGTAGTAGTAGTAGTAGTAGTAGTAGTAGTAGTAGTAGTAGTAGTAGTAGTAGTAATAGTAGTAATAGTAGTAGTAGTAGTAGTAGTAGTAGTAGTAGTAGTAGTAGTAGTAGTTGAATGTGGAGGAGAAGGAATTTGAATGGGATTATTTGTATTTATGATTGTATTCTAGTTTTGTGCCAATATCTGTGCAGATCTATATTCATACTGTGGTGTGTACTACTGATGTCGACAGATTTGCATTGTATGTATCACCAACCGAAAGTGAAATTCTTGGCGGCAGACGTTGAAAAATTTAAAGAAAAAAGAACGAGAAAAGAGATAGATTGGTGTAGAAACGAACGATCAATCAAGTACGAGACAATTGATGAGTATTTTGCAAATGAAGTATTTACTATATGATTCTCAGATTTTACAAAGACACTGTAATTTTGTATTAAATTATATTCGGTTGCCCCCTGGTTTATAATTAGGAGTGTTTGAAATATAGTACAAACTAAGAATCCTATAAATCACTCAATTTAGCCAAGTAGTGTTAGCTGAGCACGTAAGAACGTATTGTATCTGTAATTCCAAATCAAGCAGTCACCAAGTATAAAAGAATCATTAGTTCATACAAACATTACACCGACACAGGTGTTCTCGTCCAAGACATTACCAACATTTTGTTCTTCAATAAAGATGAGACTTACAGAAAACGTGGAAATGAAAAGATCTAGCTGAATTAAATGAAGTTAAAAACACAAATTAGTAAAATGTTCATTTCACTTAGTGTTGTTTGCCTATATCTTCCAATTGTTGTTTAGGACTGCAATTGATCGGCCTCTTATTGGCATATGTGCATCATGTGTGGATTGTCTTGATATTGCTTCAAGTCACAAGTTTTGTAAGCAATGTTGGATGATGATGGTTAGCAGTGGAATAGAAGACGCATGTATCATCCTTTCTAGGACTCGTCAGCTGGTTGTACTTGCATCTCACAGTTGATGTACACTCAGGAACTCGAACCGTTTGCCGTTTGCCGTTTGCTTTCAACTCCATTGCGTTATCCACTTGGTTATTAATTCCTGATAGCCAACTCCTTGTGCAATATGGTGAAGATTAAATTCACTTGGTATTTTTCACTTGAATCTTCCGATTGATGTTTAGGACTGCAAGTGATCAGTCTCTTGTTGACACATCTACATCCTGCACGGGTTGCCTTGATGCCTAAATGTTACTTGAACACTTAGAACCGAATCGTCCTTATATTTCAAATTAGATATGAGATTGGGTCATTTAAAAACGTCGAGTAATTGTTAACTGTAGTTGTAAAAATGACTGAGGAATCAAACTAATGACCGTTGTAGCGAACCAATCAAGAAATGATGCTAGACATCGATGATGAATGTCTTTGTAAATTTAACTAAGAACTGTAAACCACATGAAAATAACATGACGAAATTTGCAAGAACTGACAATCTACTAGTGGTTTCACAGAAGACAACTTTCATTATTGACATAGTTATAGTTGAATAATATACCCACCGCTATACCATCCAGGCGAATCAGACACTATCCATTCTTAAACTTTATAATCCAGGCAATACAGCTTAATCCCGCTTGATCGGAGAACCAGACATCGTATAGGTTTAAACGCCACAATCTGAATAGTACAGCTCAATCCTGTGAAGCAACCATACAAGCACCAAGCACCCTCGTGGGCCATTTGCACCATTCATATACACATTCATATCACATTTATAATTATTCCGGTCAATGATCACGTGAATCTATTATGCACAGCGTGAACAACCGGAGGTTGACTTATTCCGCTTACATGACAGTAAAACTCATTGATGTCAGAAATGGCGACAAGTCCCTTGAGAACACGGAAAAGCAACTACCAGTATGAATGAAGTCGGTTAACCAGCAAACCAGATTTGCACAAAACGTGCCAAATCAATGTTGAACCATCCACAATACCAATGGCAAACTTACAGGCTCATAAAAGACTTTTAACTCTACATAGCTGAACATAGTCAATGGTAAATTAAATAGAGTCCTGTGAAGCTCATTAATTGTTCATCCACCGTTTTCTGAAGTAGTAACAACAGATCAAGAGAACACCCAAAAAATAAACAAAAGTTACTTTAATTTAGGAATGGTGAAATGAAAGATATCACTGAAGTACAGATTTGAATGACAACGATCCCGCACCGCGAGATTCGAATCCAGGACCTATCGGTTTCGCGGACGAACGCTTCACCTCTAGATCAAGAAACCGGCATCCATTGGTGTTAATACCAAACTTCAAATAATTCACTAAGTTGCGTCATGGTAGTGTAGCTTCAATTGACTCATGAATTCAACTAATAAAGTATGATATCTGTTTGGAGTTATATGTACGTTAATTATACAACAGATTAATGTAGATTAGATGTTGTTATATTCAATTAGGTTGTAATAGATGTTGTTTGACCTATCACGTCATCGACGTTGATCATTATTGTTTTCATGGTCTACTATGCTTCCATTTCATCAAAATCTTTGATTTTCTTACATCCTCATCATCACAACTTAAAACGTTTCCCCCGTCCCCAATATATGGTTAGTTGATATGTTACACAGGAATAGTGATTCATTAAAATCTTACAACTCGTAACTACACGTATTAGAGGACCTATAGCCTGTCATAAAGTTCATCAATATTACGTTGTAAAATATATAACACACAACTATTTGAAACATCAACATGTATTTGTGATCTGTTGTTATAAGCATTCACTAGGATATATATGTTTCAACATTGAAAATTATAATGAAATAGGATTATGAAAAGAATTTTGATATTTTTCATTTTTCGAATGTCCCACACTATAATGATCAACATTGATCAACACCATTTGGTCCTTTAAAATTGCTTCAGAAGTATCTGCTGATTTGCTTCATCACAGCGTGCTCCTCTAAAGCAGCATCTCTCTTCTAGGCTTCAGGCAAAATTGCTGTCTAATGTGTGTTTACCAGCTCCATGAGATTATCTTATATCCTTATGACAAGCTAGTATTAAAGGAATGGTTTTTCAAGCTGGATGCTTGACATCACAGTATTACTCTCGGTATTTGGTACCTTCCACTATTATTATTCTAGCCATCTAGCTGTATAAACCCTTTTCAGTTTGATGGCATATTCTGGATTAATATTTTTTCAACACTAATGTTTTTGTTCCTGGATAGTCGACTTGCTAGAAGCAATAGTTATCATATAACTGAAGAGCAGATTAGTTTGTCGGAAAATGAAAAACTATGAAATTTGGATATTGATGAGTAAAGAAAAGACGATGTAAAAACTATATCCGAAGCTCACTTTCATTAGGAACACTCCAAGAAAATGAAAAACTTTTTCTAGTGGGAGGAACATGATTGTGTCAAGTTTCTCAGAGAACATGGACCCTGATTATGCAGCCGACAATATCCGAGAAGGGGAAGTTCCTAAAATAGTCCTTGAATTCTAGAGACATATTGGTCTGGCAAGTGGTTCGACTAGCCAAAATGTTCTGGAATTCTAGACCCTAGCTACCGAAGGTATCATTCTATCCTACATTGATGATGTAGGCCGTCACGAGGCACTTGGTGCCAACAGACACCAGTTAACAACTAGAATCCACGTGCATCTGGATAAGCCACATGATATAAGGGTTAGATAAGAAAACAGATTAAAACTGACAGTTTCATTTGTGGACTATCAGCATTAAGGAAAAACGCGTTTCGAGCAATATAGAGTAAAACATGAATGTGTGTTCTTGTCAAGTCTCTTAGGTCCTATCTTCTAACTTGTTGCTTGTCTCAGTCCAAGATATCTCTATCTATTTTTGTGCGAAGAGGTAGGATTCTAATATTTAATTCGGTTGTGGCATAAGTCTAGGCACTCCCATGTGACTGAACACACATATCCGAGACGAGAACATTGCAAACTAAATGAATACAAGGCGTTTTTCTCTCATTTGATCTGTGTAAGACGAGTGGTTTCTGCTCATTCGCCTTACTTTTTATCATTTGCACAATAAATTCAATTCCTGAAGGCGGAATTTTACCATTATAAACTATTTTTAACTTGACACTCATTTGCTTGACTTTAACCAAGTCAGATGTTCTCTTTTCTTCCCATAAAAACTTGATTGTGGATATTGAGAACTCAACTGTAGTTATATCCGTTAAATGTGTCGATTTGTGTAATTACCAGTTAACATTCGATGTTGATCATTATAGAATTTTGTCAACAATGTAACTTCCATTGTTTATCTGCTTTCTTTCATTGACAAGAGTATCGCACAAGAGTATTTCATAAATCAACTGCAGAACAAGATCGCTCATTATATTCACTTAATATATTGTAGAATGTGGCCTATTTTTAGTTATGAATCTTGGTCTGTTTGAAGATTGATTATTCTGAATTCTCTTTTTGTTTTTGCTGTTTTTATTCTTGTTCTTAATAATAAAGTGTAAATATTAGTCATATAAACATCAGTGCGTGACATTCCAAAAATGAAAACTATGAAATTCCTTTCAGAATCTGATTTTCTCATAAAGTGCAATGTTGAAACAGAACGTTTTTGGTAGACGATTATAAGACCACATAATAAATGTATGTTGATGTTTCAAACAGTTGTACGATATTCAATTTACAGTGTATTACTACTACGTTGATGCGTGCTACTGATGTCGGCAATTATAAGTAGTATTTATCACCAATAAAAAGGGAGATATCTTGTGTCAGAAGGGTGGGATGATTGAAGGAAATCGAACGAATACAGATAGTAATTGACGCGTTTTCGGATTTTACTAAATAATTCTGTAACTTTGTATTCAAATACATTGGGTTGTCTTCGCTGGTGTTCTCGCTCACAACACTGATACTACTACTCACACAAATAATACAATCATTGAAGCGTTAGTAGTGTGAGGAAGAAATGCAATGTGATGAGTGTAATAATTGGTTCCATAAGATGTGCACCCGATTAAGCCCCACTGCATATAAAAGGTGCTCAAAGTCAAACTCTCATTGGGTTTGTAGTTTTTGTTGCTCGAGCAAAACATTTATCCAGGAAGCAACAAGTCTCCTAGTGTTGGCTAATAAGAAGGTTGATGAGGGCTGTACTGGAAACATTGGTACTGATGACGAAGATTGCG